CAGTTGATCAATCCGCGATACAGACTCACTACCTCGACCAAAAATTCGCTAGACTTGAACCTCTTCAATAAACTTCCCGCCCACATTAAAAATTTGAGCAAAAACAAGTTCAATAGAATCATTAAAGTATTTTTCAATAACAATGCATTCTATTCTCTCGATGAATTTAAGAACTGCCAACTGAATTATATAAATAATGAGTTGACATGTGAGTGATCATCCCGCTATGACTTCTATTCTCTTAACCTGCTGTGATATCTTTACTCCAAGGTCTAATTGTTATTTTATTTGTATTTGTAACTCATCTATTACATATTTATGTAGGTATATGTGTATGTATATGTGTATATATGTATATTTTTTTTTATTGTGTAACTTCAAATTGTGTAAATGTAAATAACGCTGGCAAAATGTATTATATCTGAGGGGGATTATTTTGAAGGGGACAAAATAAAAATTAACGAACGAATAATATTTTTTGAAAAAACTGAAAGTTCCCCTCATTTTTTGAACAGACAGGTAAAAATCGAGAAAAAAATTGAAGTTATCGCGTTCAGACATACTTTAATTTACAATATGTATTTACTATTTGCTGTATCGGTTTGAAATATAAGATAATAATGAGAATATAACTGAACTTTCGCATATTCAATTCAGTCCTTGAAATTTTATTTCAAATCCCATTCTTTCGATAAGGCGCTTTACTGAAAAAATCGAATATATCCACGCTCGAAAAGAGAAGTTCCATTTCACGAAGGATGTAAGGAATGCAATTGAATGGAGTTATAACTTTTGAATATGCATCACTACACTCGATAACCGGAAAATATTGTGTGCATAGTTTTTATGAGAATCAATTTTTGTCTGATCTTCAGTAAAAAAAAGTCTTTGAATGCCCCACGAATGAAACAGCTCGAGGGAAAATATTCCACAGGGAAATTTCCGACTGAACTCTTTTGAAAACTATTCCTAATACATGCATAATATATAAACAGGCAAATTTGCTCGAATACGAACAATGCATACTGATGTAAAAAGGAAAATATAAAGAGAATATAGAAACTGGCCTATATCAATAATGGGGGCATGGATGAACCCGACGGCGACGGTGGAAAACCTGACGAACGTTTTATATATAATTTCAATATATCTACATATCGTATATCATGAACTTGAATTTTACGATTATGAAGAAATTGGAGACATCCAATTCGGAACCAAGACAGCGAAAAAAAAAATGTGTACCAAAAATAAACTGTTGAGTGAGTCTATCCTTTCTTGGAGAACATAATTTAGAATTTTGTTTTTCATTGGTACATATCAAAAATATAAATAGAACGATTATTCAAGGTTTGGAAAAACAAAATCGGTTTATTATCTCTTATGCATTTTTACTTAAACATATTCGTTGCTAAGTCAAAGAAACTTTTCTTGTTGTAGATCAATCTGACCTGTTTTTTAAGTGGCGCGAATTCTAAATCAATATAATCATATACTTGAAACAAGTTTCAAGTAAAAGGTTGAAAAATGGAGAATTTTCGTAAACGCTAAAGAGAATATTGAAGTATTACAAAATGTATTGATTTCATTGAATATAACTCCTTTTGGTACAGTGTGCAAAGCGAATTACTTTTCGACAGTATCTATTGATAATCCAAAATGCAAACTGCAGTAAAATAATTGTTGAACAAAATTCAATGAAATATTCAAAAGGCCTGCTTGATCATAGTTAGAGGCAGTTCCATTCTTATTTAAAGAAAGTAATGTCCTAGATACACGGCAGCTATACTCCCAGGAGATCATTCTAACAGTCGTTGAGAACAAAATAAAAATTAAACCAATGGAACACATGTATAATACCTGAAGAAAAAAAATACTCTTTTAGCTCCGAAATGCCAAAAATTGGTAGGTTAAAGCCAATGTAGTTGTCTTAGCCCAAAGATCTGGAGCAAAGTACCAAAAAAAATGAACTCACTAATAAACAAAATGAATTCAAATTCAAGAAAGAACTACTAAACACTGAAATACAATATGATTTGTATACGTGAGGAGAAAACCCCCTGTAGCATGAATGAAAAGTACTCAATTTCAATCCCATCATGTCCTTATGTGTTTCATATTATGTATATAGTTAATTTTCAATTCATTATGCTAATTTATTTATAGAGTTCGAAGAGAAAATCTCGATATTTTATCCGTTTTTCCTCCTCTTTTCTGACGATATTCGCCTCGCCAGGAGCTGAAAACTCCACGACAAATATCGTTTTGCTCTGGTGGTCGAAAAGGACCACATCAGGCTTATTAGCTTGTATGAGCCTGAGGGTGGGGAACGAATAGGTCTAATAAATTCGGCACTTCTCGTTCCCCACAACGGATTCAATATCCCCCGGAGCGTAGGGCAACACCGGTGTCTCGTCAATACCGTAAGAGTGTCGTAGACGATAATATAGCACTCTTAGGGCCGCTTTATGTCGATGGATATAGGCCAAGACCGCATATGCTGGACATGCTGATAGCAAGTGCACTAGGGTCTCGGACGCCTGGCAGCAGGCCCTGCACCTTGTGTCAGAAACCTCTATACCCATCACGCGACTGCGGTAGACTAAGGTGTTGAAGACAACATCCTGGCAAGCCATGATGAACCCCTCAGTTTCCGACTTCAGCTCACTCGACCTGAGGAAAGCGAAAGTCAGGCACTTTGATAAGCCAAGGCCTTCAATGTTATTGAAGATGACCCCATTCATTGACTTATCCTTGTGTTTCCTTTGTGTTCTAGTCGAAATGTTAACGATAGAGCTGGAGAACATACCAGAAAATACAAGAAGTGAAAATTATTTCGATGCTATGGTTCAACATTTTATGTTTGTTAGTGGTTCTTGAATTACTTTCAAGTAGCTCCACATAAACATTGGTCGTTCTCAAGGATGTACATTTTTTTTGCATCTAGTTGTCTTATCTTCCCCTGCCTCTCCACATCTTTGCCGACAATCAGTTGTTCTCTATTTTGATGAAGATTTGAAGAACATTCCGTCAAAGGGAACGGCAACCTTCTGGAATATGAGGTCTGTGAAATCTAGCGATCCGAACTTTCGTCTACTATTGCGACAGATATTAGTGTTATGTGCATTGACTGCGATGTCGAAGGTTATACAGTGTGTAAAAGCCAAATGGAATAAATTCATTATTTCGGTTACGGTACATATTTTAACAAAATCCCGAGAAACGGCAAATTCAAATTATAATTTGACATACTTCAACGGAAAAATGCTACACCTACCTTCAACCCCCATCGAATGACAGGTACAATCCCCAATTTTTTAAGTTTTGAATGGAAATTATAGGTTTGTGATATATCGTTTGAAAGGTATCTTCATTCTCTATTCAAAAATGTTATCGCTTTCAAGTTCATTGCAACAATTAAGATAACATAAATTAAAAACATGTGGTTACCAAAATTCGATAAAATACTCTCAAAACTTATTGCAATATACTCAAAACTTATTTTATGTTAAGGTATTGATAATAAGAAAGTAAGAAAATGATATCCTTTGAAAAAATGTGAATAATTTTCGTGGAAACGTTAGTTTGAAACGCTTTGTCAACTTGTTTCGCATGTCACAACACTAGTCAGAATTTTCAATTTAAGTTTAAAGTTAGTTAACTTCAAGTCTGACAAATGGTTAGATTACCGAAAATGCATAAAATAACAGTTTTACAAATGATTGGTTACGGAGATGAAACTCGAACACAACAGGTAGTAGCTCGCCTATTTCATGAGAAATTTTCTGATTTATGGCTCATATCTCAAGGAACAATAAGCAAAATAGAGAAGGAGTTTCGCGAGCTTGGTCATGTAGGGCAGATTAAAAAAGCAGCTGCCAATACAATAAGTGATGAACTCAAATTAGATGAGATGCTTGAGTTTGAGGAAAACCCACAGACATCGAGTAGACAGGCAACCACTACATTCAATGTTAGCCATACATCGATAGTAAACACTTCAAAAGAAAATAAAATGCATCCCTATAAAATAATACCTACTCAGGAGCTCCTGGAAGACGATTTTGATAGAAGAACTTATTTTTGTAAGCGAATGATGGACATGTTGGAAAACAATATCATCCAATTGGGAAACGTTGTTTTCTGATGAGTACTTTGTCTCTCAACGGTCATGCTAATCTTCACTGGATGAGAGAATAACACACGCAATACCCTCAAAAGGTTAATGTTTGGGCAGGGATTGTAGGAAATCATATCATTGGTCCCTTTTTTATTGAGGACAACTTGAATGGCGATAATTATTTGGCACTACGTCAAAATGATATCATTCCAAGTTTAGCAAATTTATATCCTGATCCAGGAAACCATCAAGTTCCAGTGAATACGATATGGTTTCAGTAGAATAGAGCACCACCATATTACCAAGTTATTGCCTGGCAATACCTAGATACAACATTTCCCAATCGGTGGATAGGGAGGCAAGCATCGATTGAATAGCCAGCGCGATCACCTGATCATTCATCATTTGATTTTTTTATGGGGATATGTAAAGAGCAATGTGTAAACCTTCAGATTTGAATGACCTAACAGACCGAGTAACGCTTGCCATTAGGTCGGTCACGCCTGATATGTTAAATAATGTTAGAAGGCAGTTTTTTTGAGATTAGGATGTTGCCAAGACGTTCGCGCTGAACAATTAGAACATCTACTTCGTTAACATCCATAGTTCTTTTTCGTATTCTACATTTCATTACGTTTTGCATTACATTCTAGTTTTTGAGTGTATTTTATTGAATTTCGGTAACCGCATGGTTTTAATTTATTTTATGTCGATTGTTGCAATAAACTTGAAAGCGATAACATTTTTGAATATAGAATGAAGAGATAGGTTAGAAACCTATACTTCCTACTTAAATAATGGGGGTTGTACCTGTCATTCGAAGGGGGTTGAAGGTAGGGGTGGCATTTTTAAGTTGAAGAATGTCAAACTATAATTCACATTTGACGTATTTCGGGATTTTTTTCAGATATGTAACCGAAATAATGAATTTATTCCATTTGGCTTTAACACACTGTATGTCAAAGTCTCAGAAACCACCGACTCTTGATGCTGACACTAGTTGAACTTTATTTCGTTTTATGTTCAACGTCTTGATGAAAGAATAAATTTTTATTGTGAATCTAATACATTATTTCCGTTGCAGTCAGCAGCAGCAGAAATGAAAGCAATATGTTTGAAATAACTTTTTTATCAAAAAACAAACTCAAGCAGGAACATGATCAGCTGCTCAACTGGTGTCAGGAAAATTTGAACATTATTGACTCGAAGGATCTTCTTATTTTAGGAGAGAAGCCAAGAGGAGATGTAATTGAGGTGAGGCTCCATACTCATTAAATGATTATTAAGTCCAGTGATATAATGTTTCATTTGGTAGTTGTTCCTCATAATAATATTATTGATACCAATGTATCCCATTACTAGATGAAAATTGATAACACTATCTATAGTAACTACAGCAGATTCGTCCCATAAGGACATTTTCAAACTTATACATTAAACTAGAAATGAAAGATTATATTACCTCTTATATAATACCATAGTAGGTAATAACATAGGTACGCTTATTTGATAACCGGTGAGTAACCTAGAACAATTTGATCATTTAGCAGGTTACACCCGTATTGCATATGCTTATGAATTTCCAAAGATTCTAAATAATTGAGTTTCCAACCTTTGCTTGCATAGTACCAAATTTCCGTATCGTTTAGATTCGGGAACTTGTGGTTGCATTCCAAGGAATGGTTTGAAAACGTCGAATCATTTTTACCTAGTCTGAAGGACCTTTCATGTTCAGCATACCGTTTGGAAAACTTCCACCACATTGATCTACACAAACACTATTACACTCCGGACACTTAAGCTTATAAACTCCAGATTTAGAGTTACAACTCCAACATATCTTGGTACAAGAACAGTCATAATTGCGGGATTTTTCAGAAAAAACAATGTGGAAGTGGCATTCAGACCACATATCAGGTTATCTAATTTCCTTTTCATTGCCAAAAATAAAGTGGGCAAGATGGAGAAATCTGGAGTTTATAAGCTTAAGTGTCTGGAGTTAATAGTGTTTATGTGACGAAATTGCAATAACTTTAGTTACAAATAAACGTGGTAAAAAATATAGAAATTTTCATTTCTCATTTTTCATGATAATCTACAGTAACAGCAACATCTATCAATTTACTAAGTAGATAAATGATTAATTCTGGTTAACGAGGTAGATTTTGAAAAAACAATTACAATACAATATTACTTCCAAGAAACAAGTTCAACAACCATATTGATGAAGGAAGGACAAACTTCTTAGATCACTTCGATGGAATTTTCACACTTATCTCAGTTTCATAAAAATATCTGTGAATCTCTATGACACCCGGTCTGAATGTTATGATGTTGAATTTGAAGTTCCGCAAGGTTCGATTCTAGGATCACTGTTTTTTTAATTTATTTTTCATTGATGGCCTTCCTATGCACGACAGGACTGAAGTGATGGTTTTATGTAATTTATCATAGTCAATAATTTTGCCTATAAAAAAATATAAGAAATTATACAGATACTCAACACTTCGAAAGCTAAAATCTGCTCCCATCTTCACAATTGGAAACAATCCAATTAATTTTCAGTATCCTCTTTGTTTCGTTTTATTTTCAAAACGTCCTAGATAGATGTCTCCGGACTTTTTCAGATTGTGGAAGGTGAAAACACCAAAAAAATCGATAGAAATCAACAATAACAACAATATTTGAAACAGAATATCGTTAGACGAGCTGTCCTACCGCTAAACGGAATGCATTTTCCTAGCACATTCCAAACTCTATCCATCCAGCAAAGAAAGTAACCCAAACAATAATAGAAGCGTGATCACCACGCACATTTGAATATGTAGGGTAAAATAAACAAGCTTCCTTATGCTGGCCAATCAGATTTGACTGCAATCGGCTGGCGGAATTCATTCAGCTATATAGCTTCGGGGTCGGAGTAGTGAGTTACGTTTCAACGTCTGAGATGTGTACATATAGGATTTTTCGAAGTTTAAAATTTTCAAATTGTCAAGTACTTATACGGCTGAAGATACTGTTAATTTGTATCCCTATATTCTTCCACTTTAAAAAAATATTCTCTACCCAGCCGCAGAGTACAAGAATGTTGAATCGATGATGATTCAAAATGGATGAATTAAACGAACCGCGCATGAATTGTCCAGAAATGCATGAGTTTGCTGAAGGTCATTACAGCAGGGAGCAAACGTTTCGAAGACTCTTCGCGAACCTTTCTTTGCTGTGTATATTACAGACTGCTTGCAGAAAGTAAGCAATTCAGTTCAGTGCAAAATATATACCAAAAATGTTTTTAAAATTATACTGAAATAACAGTGTTTTGAAATGTACTTCTAGAAAATCGAACAAAGGCTTAAATTGTTGACCATAATTTTTTTCCTAACACCAAACCGTTATTTTAACACCTCGACACGTGTTTTGATCACCAATAGGAAAGAAGAGGAAGGTCAAACTGATTGATCTTCCTCTTGAAGATGACCACTTGGTGATCGGAACACGTGTCGAGGTGTTAAAATAACGGTTTGGTGTTGAGAAAAAAAACTCCAGTAATATTCATTACTACACCAAAGGTTTCAAACAGTGCATCACAAGCTTAGCTTTTCATACTTTGGTCAAGTTTTGACATGTACCAAGTCGAAACAAACTAAAAGTGTTAACACAATATTGATGAAAGACATTTTTCAGGTAACTGACAGCGCTTCACAAACAAAAATGTCCACTTCGGATAATCTAGCATTGAGTCTCCGCACATATCAATCAAAATTATCCAAAATGGAAGACGATATAGAAAAATCCCTTCAGCTGAATAAGGAACATACGATAAAGGGAAATATAACAGCCAGAAATATAATTTTGAACGTCGACGCAGTTTTAGATTCAGTACATTTCCACATGATTAACAACATTGCGTTGAACGGTATCCTTGAAAATTCCCTGAATGTAAATGAAGGTTTCAGTCTTGACTCGCGAATCGAATTCGATTTCTTGAGAAGCGAAGAGCCTTTATTTCCCGAGAAAATCAATGGTAATCCAGTTGATAAAATATTACGTACAAGCGACAACTCTTCTGTGAGTAGCTTTACAGTAATTGGTAACGTCAATTTTACTAACGACGTTACACTGAAAGATGAAATTGATAACGCAACCTTCAGTGGTGAATCAGAAATGCTTCTTGATGGTAATCAAACTTCTGAAAACATTTCAAGCAGTAAAAATGACGCGAAGAATATCGAAACCGAAGATTTGAACGATCATCAATTGAGAATGAATGAACCAGATAATGTTGAAAGAGCTGGAAATGGTAAAGCTTCAGTGAAAAATCTCAATAAATTGAGAGTTAAAAACTTGGTAGTGAGTGGGTTCGTGAACGATTTGGATTTGGCCACCTTGTTTAAATATGCTTTGAGAAAATCTGGACCACAAAATATAACGAAAACATATTTTATCGATAACCTTGTCGCTGATATAATCAACACAGACAATATATCAGGTGAGTGAATGAATAAAATGTTTCATTAGATTATATAGGAAAATGAAGTTGAATTTGCAACGTATAAGGAGTTTTCTACTCGTATTAGTATTTGTCCTTCAGGAAAATTGAAGTTTACAAACCCATATGTAACAATCTCAAAACAACAGTTCCAACAACACGGTTGGAGTAGGTTAGGTTAGGTCAAAAGTGGCCTTCTATCGCAACCCGCAAAGGTTTATTGTGGCTCACACCTATTCATACTCGACCAAATACCCGGCTTCTTAAAGAAGCCGATCAGTTTATTTGGTGGTGAGCGTGTTGCTCTGATAAACTCGAAACAATTTGGTCTTCCTATTGAGGAGAGCCGTTTTTGCTATTTGCTACCAATTTAGTCGTTGCTTGGTAGGAGCCAAGAGTTTCCTACGCCGCTTGACTGTCCGAGAATATTTTCATGGACTTGTGTATGGGGTTGGATTCTACCAATCTCTCCTCACACAATTGAATAGTATAGATTTCTGCTTGAAATACAGTCCCTATTCAGGTTGATATCTCTGTCCTGTGTCTGCGAACGGAAACGCCTGCACCAGAGAAGGTGTTTTTGATCCATCTGTGAACCAACAACTATCTGCTTTCAATGTTTCCTTCTTCCAGATAATCCATTTCTCTTTACTCGGGAAAAAAACTGTATAAGGCAGATTGTAGTTGACGGAGGCATAATGTCTGTTCGGTCTCAAGATCTTACTGTCGAGGTTATTATGTTTTTCAAGTGAATCTTAATTGTTTAGTATTTAGCCTAAAATTTGTACAACAAAACAGATTGATACTCAGATACTCACGGTAAAACAATCGTGGGTCAAAGCAATGTCAGTGGTCATTCACAGAATGCTGTGACCTCCAGTGTCAACCAGCAGTCTAGTGTACTCTGTATTAAATTGATTTGTGCAATTGGCGATGTGCACAAGTCCATATGCAGTTCATCTACCCTCTCTTTCCAGAACAGTTGGAGTATCTTGAACTCTTTATGACCGATCAGCATATCCTCGATAAGCAGTGCCCTATAATTTCAGATAAACTTCACGTAAAATAAGTGTAACTATACGACAAAGAAGTGTTTTAACACGTCTTGTATGGACTACGTGTTCTGGTTCATGATAGACATAAAGTATTGGGCTATGCACACGACTAAGTTATCCTGGTTCAAGGAAAATATAATTATACAGTGAATAAACATATGCAGTAGATTTTGATTTTCGTTACAAGATAGACCGACAATTAGGACTTCTGAAACTTTGAAATAAAAAGAAGGTTAATTTTCTGGGTGTTACCCTGGATCCTAGACTGATCCGCAATCAACATTTAGGTATGATGAAAAGGAAGATGAAGGTAACACTGCTGTTAGCCAGGTACATCTAGGAGAAGACATGAGGGCTAAAACCAGACATGATGTATGAACAATACCTAATGGTGGTTGAACCCATGGGAACATATTCATTTTTGGTTGAGAATTTTTATTGAAGAGCATAACTTATTGATAAACAATTGATGCCAGTACTAGTCGATTATTTTCTATAAAAACATGATGATATATTCTTGAAGTTTATAAAACCAAGAATTTATTACCAATTGATATACCACCTTATATATTGTTTTACCTGTGATTTCCTATAGATATGAAGAAAATAAATATCTATCTGGTATATGGGTGAAAATAGGTGAGTGAATTAATAAAATGTTTCATTAGATTATATTCAACTTGTACCATATGACCTTTACAGAGCTGCAATTCATCGTTTTGTATTAAAAAAATCGTTAGCAATTTTAATTTTTCATTTGCACAGCAAAAAAGAATCAGCCGGTTAGTGAGTAATTCACTGATGAATCATCATAATTCTTTGATCACCAAATTCAAAAAATTCAAATATGCTCTGAACGGACTGTTTACTAATTTGACCCACTTTGTATGTCTTATGTTTTCCAATTTTCCCATGCTCTTCCTCCTTATCTTGGACACATGGTATATATTCACCTCAATATCACTAATGGAACTTGGTTCACATTAGAACTTTGTAAATAGACACATATATTGAACAGTAATCTACACCTCACTTAGCTTGAGGTGGATCGATGTCGAGCCAAATAACCTCAGTGAAGGACTATTATTATCAAATATCACTACTAGATATAATTGTAATAACGTTGCTACTACATATGTGCTTGATGTACTAGCCTCACTCTTATATTATGAAATAGTGAAGCGAGCTCTGTGACGCATCTCTTTCGAAGCCAATCCCCCATAAGGATTTGCATCTTAAATCTAGCGATACATGGGTTAAAAAGTCTCGGACCTAACACATACAAGGCGCTAGTCTTATTGCATTCACCGTTTTTCTCGGTTAGTACTAAAAGAAAGCTGTTGAAATTTCATGATGTTCTACTCATAAATTTGAGGGTTATTGTGGATCAGAAACAATTTCGTGTTTCAAATTTACACTGCTTTTTGATGAAAAAAATTATCGTTCAAGCGAGGCAATGGTTTGAAAAGTGTTTGTTTGCTGACTTCAAACGTGGTCGTAGAGACGTCGATGATGCAGAACGTAGTGGACATCCAAATGAGACAGTATTGACCAAAAACAAGGACGTCTTGATGATTCTGAGCAGTGTTTGGCAATGTTTAAACATAACAAACCGGAATTTTTGCGTCGATATATGCCATGGATCCATCACTAAACTCCAAAATCAAAACGATCGTCACCTGAGTGGAGAGCAACTGGTGAACTTCGACCAAAGCGCCCGTAAGTACAACAATCGGCTGGAAAGGTTATGACCTTGGTATTTTGGGATTTACGTGGTGTAATATTCTACGACTTGAGAAGTGAAATACCATCAACGGTGAATATTGGACCGTTTGAAGGCCGAAATTGCAAAGAAACGACCTCATATGACGAAAAAAAATCTGTTTGATCAAGACAACGCACCGTGTCACAAGTAAATTAGAACAATAACAAAATTACATACAATGAATTTCGAATTGCTCCCACATCCACCTTATTTGCCAGATTTGACCCCCAGTAACTACTGGCTGTTTGCAGACCTTAAAACAATGCTCACCGGTAAAAAATTCGCACGGATGGAGGAGTTATTGCTGAAACTGAGGCCTATTTTGAGGCATAAGATAAATCGTTATTGAACTTTCTTTTGAATATATTTGAGTTTGTTGAGTACTTTCATAGTTTCCGATCCATATTTCGTCCTACATTCGACGTATTCAGTCACCGGGTAGGTGAATTTTTGAATATTCAACATATCAGGAAAGTGGTATTTAAATGTTAGAGTGGCGCTGAAATGATTGTATAATAATAATAATGTTTATTCAGATTCAAATCACAAAAAGAAATAACTAAAGTAATACTTACAGTTGAATAAACATCGTAGAAACCACAAAAGCATTAGATGTTGCTTGTATGTGGTGAAAAGGAGATCCAAAGGAAAAAAGTAAATATATGATAAATATTAAAGTAGGAGAATGAATTATATATAGTATTTGCATAAGAGAATAAACTACTTAATATATGGAATTAAAAACACATAAGATAATATAAAATCACAAATATGAGTATAAATATAAAAAGTTGTCAGTTTTGACATAAAATATTATTTAAATATAAAATCATACGAACATTGGAGTAAATTGACAATTAAGTATAAAATCACAATTGTAAAATATGCGTACTAGTAAAAATATATAAAAACATATGGATGTTGTTGAAAATGGATGTGATTTATATTAACAAAACGATAGTGCCCATATATACACATATATGCATACATATATGAACACATATGTATTACAGAATTGTAAGTGGACAATATAGCAAAGGTAGTATGGTTTTTCCCATCTACTCAAATAGACGTAGAAGTTTAAGTCTCTGACTTTGAAGAATATGCTCTTTCAACACCTTCTTGAAGCGATTGATATTTGGGATAGATTTTATATTTTCAGGAGTTCGGTTGTAGAGTTTGGGCGCAAATTAAGTAAATGATCTTTGAGTAACGACCCTGACCATTAGAGGTGTGGTATACTGATCTCTTTGGCGGGTATGATACTGATGTGAAGGAAGCGATGCCAACAGACGAGTTTCGATGTATAACCTATCAGAGGGATACCTACCATTTTTAGAGAAAATTAATTTGAGAAAACGCCTTTGCATAATTTCAATTTGAGAAATATGACTATTTAATGCTCCTCCCCAAACTACTATTCCATAGCTGATATGACTTTCCACAAGCGAGTAGTATGAAATTTTGAGATATTTTAGAGGTTGGAGTTCTTTAAGTTTCCTAAATTTGAATAGAATGGACCTCAATTTATTGACGAATATTTAATATGGAAGTCTCATTTCAAATTGGTGCNTAAGCTTATTTAAAAAAAAATAACTTTTTAGTTCGATGTTCTTCAAAAGCGTGTTTTTTAGTTTTTTTAAACTATATTTATTATTGTTAATTGATCGAACGGGGATGCTCAAGTTGCATTACAACAGAATGCTAGGTAATGCGTTCTGTTGGAATGCAGATGGAGCAGATGGATCAATTAACAATAAAAACTGATACAATTTTGAACAAAAAAACGTGTTTTCTTTCTTAGGCCCGGGACTTGTCAGCTCATGTGTTAGTTTCTTGAAGATATAGAATGTTATTCGAATTTGAAGTGTCAACATATCAAAAATGTTTTGAATGCAACTTCTGATAAGTCACCGACATGATATGAATAATGCAGGGTATTTACTGAACATTATCAAAAAGGTTCTATCTGGAAGCTTTTGTGACATAATGAATCAGTCTCAATCATTTGGAGTTTGTTTCCAATATTTATACATAAAGAAACAAAGCAAAAAATGAGCACCAAATGTTATGAATCCCTGCTCCCTTCGAAAGAGGTACAGAGTGACGAAAATTCTTTAGGAATCCACCTAGAATGGCATCAAAGAAAGCATCTGTTCTTCGAAAGGTTTCAGATCCTTACGATGATAACGTTTTAGCTAAACTCCCGGCAATCTTTCTGAGCTGTATCTATTCTTTTAATGTGTCGAGCAAAATGAATATTTCATATTGAGGTCAATTTCACCGAAACTTATAATAATAAAACAATAGTCAACGGAATAAATTTCATATATATTTCCTGTATCAATCCCTTCAAACAAAAGTAATATAGTTTTTTTGCAGGCAAGCGAGTTTCTACTCATCTCATACCGATCACCGGAGGAAACTACACCGTAAATAAGGATGTGATGTTCACCAATGATTTATCAGCCAAAAATCTCTTCGCAGCGGAGTTCCTGAACGACGTGATCGTACGGGACGGGAAACTCGATATTCTTCTGAAGGATTCCAAAGTGAAGCAATTCGTCACTGGAATGAAATCCTTTGAAAATTTAGAACTGTTAGACGCCATAAACTTGCAAGGGAAAATAAAAGGCAAACCCTTCGATAGTATGAATCCGATAGTTAGAGTCGATTCCAGTCTCGAGAAGGATGAGGATGTGAGGATTACTGGGGATGTAATAGTAGAGGAGGTGATGATATTAGGCGATATCGTAACGGCAGACGGAAAGAATTCCTTGTTGCGACTACAGAAGAGCGGGTTCAAATTAAACGAGACTGTGATACCGATGCGAATGAGATTTTCCCAGGTATGTGTACAAGAACGTGTTTGAAAAAATACGACGGATATAAAAACATTAAACAAATGTAATTTTTTACATACTTCTACTTTATTCGTCCACCCCTAGTTATGATTTATATCCGCTGGGGTATGTATTCGTTTATTCCGCTCACGCTGCTTTTTGAAATACTTTCGATTGGAGCTACGGAAAGCTACGGAATAAAAAAATGCTGTTGATGTACTAGTGGTTGGTTTCAATAAGAACATTTGACTCTCACAATAAAAAATACCACATTTGCGGGTCCAGGTAATTTCTCCATTGATATAAAAAAGAAAATGGACGAATATTTTGTAGATCTGCACCAGTGATGAAGTCGAATTAACCTCAAAAGTAAAACATCATCAGAACCGGATGATGCATTTCTTAATGTTTTGAAAGTAATTTCCGATAGTGAACCCCGAACATATATGTCTACTGGAACATATGTGTTGAAATTGAGTAAATACGATAAAGTGATCAGATCAGATATGGATAATTGATCGGGCGATAAGACTATTGTTACCATTATGAATGATATAATCACAACACATAATGAAATTTGGACAAATCATGAAATACAAATCAATTCAGAGAACTGAGATTATGAAAGAAAGGAAAGGAGAAAAAAATCACCTCAAAGGTGCTGCTTCGTTCCCTCCTGTTCATAAAACAGGACATATGCCTCATCGCTAACAAGTGACTTTGGCGAAATTGGGAACACGTGTGAATCGTTGTATTTATGTCACGTGCCACTATATGGGTGTCTGCAATATGCTGTTTAATGCCCGTTGTGAGTAGTCCCACTGTGATTTGAAAGTGCATATAGATTATAACGACAAGGAGCCACACTGTCTGCTGCATAATTGCTCATATCTAATTCATCTGAAGAAAAGTCAATGGAAACATTCAATTTGCCTGTGAATCTTTCCGTTGCAGAGAATCTTTTCAAATGAATTACTAAAATCCGGGAAACTTATAGATTGATAAGGACATTTTCTTCTTTGCTTGCACCTCGAACACATTGATTTTTCATCTCCATCCAGAGTTTCTTCTCTTGTGAAGGAATCCAAGCAATGTGACAAAAACTCAATTGGCCAGTTCTTTGTGGTATGGGAAGAGACAAATCCCAGAAAGAATCGAAAGTTACTGAAGTGCACACAGTGTGTGCACTTCATAGTGGATTTCAATTGACCAACGAAATAGTCTACAATCTTAGAGTTGTTCATATTCAAATATCTCAGACAAGACTCTTTTGCTTTTCTGCTGTCGCTCAATTTTTCGTCGATCTCCGTTAAGATCGGTTCAGGTTTCTCAGTAATTCTGTTGAGGTCCTCATGTAAACCTTCTGAAAGATATCGAAGGAATTCGTGGGCGTCTTGATGGGCAAAACCCATGAATCTAGGGGCATATCTTCGAATCTGACTTTTGAAGTAGACTGAGTTAATTACTCTATCAGATGAATTTTCTGACCACAATTCCTTGATAACTTCTGCGAACGCTTTGATTAAAACACCTTTCATACTAGAAATACTAGTATTGATATCTTCCATGTATGTATCCTTTTTTAAGTATTCCAGCAACCATCCCGTCTTTGATAAACATTGGATTACACTGTTCATGAAACAGGTGTTTCCAAGATTTTTTAACCCATTGAACTCAAGAGTTTTGACTGAAGAATGTATCACCGATCTATTGTTGTAACTGTCAATACTATATTTGCCACTACTATCTTCTTCTGAGTAAACACGGATACGATGATTCACCCCTTTATTGGATTGCTAGCAGAACTGCTCGAAACTGAATTGGATATTAGTTCTTTAGGGGACTGTGAGGGCTCAGCCAGAGGACTAAATCCAGCCTCATTCAGAGTTTCCACTTCCTTTTCTGTCAAAGCTTCACCGTTTTGATGCGAGTCTTCCACCACACTGCACAACTCCAGTTCTTGCACTATCTGTACATATTCGTTGCGTCGCGTGGAAACATGATAATTGGATAGCGGCATCGGTGTGCTCGATTTGGGATGAGGATAGGATAGGATTGGCTGTACTATCATAGGTAGATGCCGATTTATTTTATTCATGGGAAACATTGATAATTCACTTAGGGCTTTTGATTGAGGAACTGTACCTTAATATAAAGCTGCATTTCCTCTTTGAATCAGAATGCTAATTTTTTGAATCAAGAAAGAGGTAGCTCGTGGGTCATTCGTCTCTTTGGAGATCCTAATGCCGATTTCATGAATGAACTCCAATGCTTGGGGGCTTAAGGTATCAAATGTATTGCATAAAAAATGAAATTATCTCCCAAATAATTGTATTTTCGTGTTTTCGACAATTCCGCTGATGAAGCTGCTTCACCGTTGGATACAGAAGTCGAAGGAACGTGACAAGGAGCCAAAGTATCGACCGTTTTTTCTCTCCGTCAAGGAATGAGTGCCTGGGGGTTCTAAGAGGTATATTTGCCGCACTCAAGGTACGTTTGATGACACCATTTACAGCTTGATGACGGGTAAAGTGCCGGGCGCTATATCTACAACTCAATCCATGATATTCTCGGGTGTCTACTTCCACTTCACATTTGCATTTGTGTTGAACAGAAATATTGGAATCTAGTCGAAGGCCTACAGCAACTCTAAAAGATTCATTGTCCAATAATGTACCAAGGGATGAAACTGATAAGGCATCCAACCAAGCGCCTGCATGTTTTGACGACACTGCTTTTATACGTGCCTTATCTATAGGAGATTTAGCGAAGTCTAACAAAGTATTCAAGGCATTTTTTACAAGAGGAGTATCCCAGGTTTGTTGAAAATTTTTTCTGGTTCTTGGTACTTCTAGATTAGTTCGTGACATCCATAGTTGTTCGGCCTCCCCCAAATTGTTATCCGATGGAAAGGAGGGTGTTAAAATTGAATCTATCATATTGATCACACTACAACTTGAAGAGAGGAAGGTAGGTAGTGAAAGGTCAGTGATTGTACGAATGCCTAAACCTCCATAAGATACAGGAAGAGTAGCTTGATGCCATGCATTGCTCTCCAATTGATCATTCAATAAAAGTCAAAGAGTGTTAAGAATTTCTTCATCAAACTTGATCAGATACATTTGGTGATGTCAGGTTGGAAAACATCTCATGAGATGAAGGAGCTTTTGAATAGTCAAACAGTTTCTGGGAAGATGGAAAGCTACATGTCTTGGAAGAGCATGAACACGAGAAGGCATAATTCTGAAATTATGTAATTTTTCCTCAAAAAAAGTGATGAATGCTTTTTCTGTGAGAGTTAGTTCTGTCAATTATTTTGATTCCAGGAGCAATGTCATTGAATTTTCTCGAAATATTCAATTCAGGTTCACTTAGAAAATGCAGTTCAGATTTATGGAAGTTTAGTTCAAGCCCAATTTCCTTTGACTTTTTAATAACAGACGAAAGAGCATTGAGAACTTCCTTATAGTCTCCTCCCAGAGAACCGTCATCTAAATACCGAACATTGAACTCTGTTTTCAAATTTTTGATGATATTGTCTATTGACAGGCAAAAAAAAGCAGGCACTAATGGATCCCCTTGCTGTACTCCACGCTCTGATGATATTGTGTTTTCATCAAACGTCAGTATAGAAGGCTGTAGCATTGCAATACAAAAGGATATAACTCTGGAACACTATTTTGAACCGATTTCAAGATGAAGTCTCGATTCAGCATATTGAAAGCATTCTTATAATCCAATTTAAGAAAAACTTTTCCGTCCTTGGACTTGTGTTCATGAATATATCACAACCACTTGGATATCCAAAACCATATTGAAATGGATGAAAAATATTTCCTAGTTTTTCCTTCAGCTTGAATGAAGCCAGTTTTGCAACTGAACGGCGAAACACATTGCCGACGGCAATCAGTCTAATTCCATCATCTTTCTTTTTCAAAGCACATAATGAAGCACCAAATAAAATAGGACAAATTTCTTCGTTCACAGTACCTGATAGCAAAACATTACAAAGGGCTGTTAGCGATGATAAAATCCTCGATGCAGCAGAACTAGCATTATAACTTATCAATTCCTGCAGATGGCCTCAAAGAATCCAAACCTCCAGAAGAACTAGTACGAAAAGACATAATTGCTTGACGAACTTCATTCTCATTCACTACTAAAGGACTGGTTGAACAGGAGTTAGTTTGGTAACAAATTTGAGTTTTTGACTGGGGATGCTTGGACTGGAGTTTACGAAAGGTTTCTATGCTAAAATTTGCCAGTTTGTCATCGGAACATAAAGTTTTCACAGCTCCTGAAAGATTTCCATCTGATACTTCATTCAAGACCATCTTGATTAGGATAGACTCCAGATTTTTAGATTTCTTGGTGAATTTTATTTCAGCAGCTCTCTCTTAAGCGCTTACGTCACTTAAAAACGCGCACGAGATAGATAATTGTGTCTATAGGACTCTTGCAACATTTATAGCACTCAGTCGGAGTGTTTTTCAATTCAACGAGAAATTTGATTCGTTTGATTGATACGTTGCTCCTATTTTTTGTCACATATGGTTCTCGGCACGAGAAAAAAAACGTTCGTTGCAAACCGCTACTGTACAAATACTATAATAGTGACAAAAACGTGTTCTGGTACGTAAATAGAGAAGATTTCCAGATACCCAACGCACTACTCGTTTTTCCCCACACCTCTAGAGCGCCCTCTAGGTGCGCAGTCTCGTTATTTAATAGCTGGACCTCGTATATCTGTTTAACAAATTCTGTTCAAAATCTGTTTTTCCGTTAATCAGCTGTCGCTGATATGAAAGAAAAGAATCAGTATCACGAGTATCAAAGATAATCGAGGTTAACCGAGGTCGAGGGCCAAATAAATGTATATCCAAAAGCTCACTAAAACTCTCCCGTTTCATTTTTGCTTAAAATAATTCCGTTGAAATGTTCTTCCACAAGAACTTTCTGAGTTTTTTTGCAATGACTGTCTGAATACGTTGTGGTGGGTTGAATTCAGAGATCTCCCAAAACACCTCCAAGAACTTTCAGATTAAATAAATCGTTAAACCTGTGCAAGAAGGTTTAACAATTTGTAGTTCAGATCAGATGATAAGTAGGCAAATATTGATTCCACATTCAAAGTTGTAGAGATTCAAAAAGTAGAACCAACAAATAATTGACGCAAATCAATCGGCCGAAACTATCACTAGATGGAATGAAAAATTGCTGATGTACTAGTGGTTGGTACTACTACTGGTTGTACTACTTAGTCAAAAATTTTGAGTAAGTAAACGTTAGAATATGCATATTTTTCTGGTTATAACTGGAAAAATACATAGTGTCCATTTGAAAAATTGAATTGTTACTGTTTGAGAACAGATGGAGCTTGAGAACGGTTTCATGGAGCATACTTTATATAATTTCCACAACTTGAAATACTCGGAATGATCACAGCACAAATTTAAAGTAATTTTTGTGAACGTGCAAGAGGTGATTGAAAAAGTCTGCATAATAGTATTTTCTTAATTCTTATCAGTGCCGAAACAAACATTCAAAAATAAAAAATACTGAAAAAACTTGATGAATAGTGAATCAAATGATGAACATATCATCCATAAAGAAAAATTGAACATATTGATAGAAAGGATAGTCGCATTATACACTTCATATTTGTGACCATGAGCTAATGAACAGAAGAAAAGGGCGGAGTTCACTTCATTTGTAGACAAGACCTCTACCGCCCAAACTTTATCAACCTTATCAAAGTATTAGCATCATCACACATCCTTCCATAAACGAATGTTTCAAGTTTATATAGAGAAAAGAACATAGAAAATAGAAAAAAAGTTAAGATTGGCTACAAATATATTTCTTGAATTTCATTTTAAGTTCCAGAGGTAAAGATAAAGAGTTGTATATAGTGCATATTTGATGTGAAAAACAGCGATTGAAAAATTCAGTTCTGAACTTTGGTGGCGTTAGTGTACCTCTGAAACTTACATTCACATTATGAATATGAGAGATTAGAGCGAAATGTGATTTTGCGATGCAAATAGGAGGGTTTTTTGGTAATTATAATTTTGTGGAACAAACAAACAGCATGAAAAAGTCCTCCCTTCAACATATTCAACCCTAATGACGTTGCTACTGCTAATCAAAAATTGAATGAAGATTTAGTTCGTCTTATTTCAGCATCTGAAGCTCATAACCTCAAAATTAATTCAAACAAAACTAATCTGCTTGTTTTTGGTACTAATGGTAGCTTGGTGGAGATATTATACACTTCATATTTGTGACCATGAGCTAATGAACAGAAGAAAAGGGCGGAGTTCATTTCATTTGTAGACAAGACCTCTACTACCCAAACTTTATCAACCTTATCGAAGTATTAGCATCATCACACATCCTTCCATAAACGAATGTTTCAAGTTTATATAGAGGAAAAGAACATAGAAAATAGAAAAAAAAGTTAGGATTGGCTACAAATATATTTCTTGTATTTCATTTAAGTTCCAGAGGTAAAGATAAAGAGTTGTATATAGTGCATATTTGATGTGAAAAACAGCGATTGAAAAATTCAGTTCTGAACTTTGGTGGCATTAGTGTACCTCTGAAACTTACATTCACATTATGAATATGAGAGATTAGAGCGAAATGTGATTTTATGATGCAAATAGGAGGGTTTTTTGGTAATTATAATTTTGTGGAACAAACAAACAGCATGAAAAAGTCCTCTCTTCAACATATTTAACCATCCAGCAGTAATTAGTTTATTTCAAATTCTCTCGCGTCTACGAACGCCATATGTAAGTCATAGGCATATATAAGTTTTAGGACCGTAAATGCAAAATTAAAAATAGACAATACTAACAATTCACACCGTATTTAAAAATGTCTGGATCCATATAATGAATCTTGTTGACATATTATGTACATAGAGATTTATAATCGGAAGATCTATTGACCTGTCAGTAAAGAATGAGTGATCTTGATCTTCCTCTGATCAATTATTTGACATAGTGTTACATTCTTGTGGTGCACTGTTTACAACCTTTGGTGTAGTAATGAATATTACTGGAGTTCAGTCCCAACACCAAACCGTTATTTTTAACACCTTGACACGTGTTTCAATCACCAAGTGACCATATTTCTCTTGAACATGATCACTTGGTGATTGAAACACGTGTCGAGGTGTTAAAGATAACGGTTTAGTGTTGGGATAAAACTACAGTGACAACAATCACCAAGTGATCATATTTCTATTGAAGATGTTTACTTGGTGATTGAAACACGTACCAAGGTGTTGAAAATAATGGTTTGGTAATGGAAGTTAACTTCAGTACTGATAATCACCAAGTGATCATCTTCCTCTTGAAGATGGTCGCTTGGTGATTGAAACACGTGTCGAAGTGGTAAAAATAACGTTTTTGTTGGGATAAAACTCTAGTAATATTCATACTGTTTCATTTTTATTATTATTGTAATAAAATCGCTGGGATAATATTTTGAAGTTACGTTTTTTTGTACAGAGCACACTCAGTATTATGTGATCACTGTTTTTCATTTTCTCAGTAAACATAATGGGTATTTAGATGCTAACAAGTTTTCTTCAAATTTTCAGCACATAAACGTCCACGAACTATCCGCAGACAAAATTAACAATATCGATCCGGCTACGTGGGTAGTAAATGGAGCAAAACAAATTCAAATCATTCCGGGATGGAAGCAGTTCGTCGGTGATTTAGAGATTACCGGTGATACGAGAGTTTTGAGAATAAATGACATCGATATGACCGAATTAGAGACTAACGTACTGAAAAAAGAAGGCGATCAAGTAATAAGAGGGAAGCATTACGTTAAATTTGTTGCAGTCGAAAAAAGGTGAGTGGTAAATTCCATTTTAGATGAAGTCTAGCTTACTGAGTTGCAAAAAGTAATGGCCTGGAGGGAAACGCGAATCAAAAAAGAATGAAATTTGCTGACCCAATCAATCGATCGGGAGGTAATGGAAGAATAATTCAATTGGTCGGCTCACTTTGGTTGATGGAAACCGGAAATATCTTCAACGTGAAAACTACATAGTTTCCATGAAGTTGAGAAAGAGTGATATTGTTATAATCCAGAGTAAGTGAATCTAGGTGGGTTTATACAGTGTATCTGTTGATATTTGAACAGAAAGTTTTCTTGTGCTTTCAACATCAAACGGATTGAAAGCACTTAACCAATTTGGTAGTAAAGTGCCGAAAAGTACTCTTCTCAATTGGAAGACTCAAACAGTTTTTATAGTCTGGCCGCGCTGGTCATAAAAGATAATGAAGCTGTCGACTCTCTTACAAAATAGGGTGTTGCAAGCGGTTCCATAAAACCAGAATCTATCACTGGTATCGCATTAGACTTTGATAAACAAACAGTGTACACCTGGACTGCAGCTCCAAGGCATTCATACGTCAAAGTCAGTTACCAAATAATTGTTAGACTACAATAGGGATGGCCTACTTTGCCTGATCCTTCTGTTAAGGCTTCCACAGACGTCGTTCTTTTTCGACAGGATTACCCGACGCGACGTGCAGAACTGTTTGGGCAATCACGAACCGTGGTGGCACCCACACACTGCTGGGGTCAGTTTTCTTTCAGTATTGTCATTGTCATGGAGACGACAGTGACGTTAGCTGCGGTTTTAGCAACAAAAGTTAATATGCTAAGAGAAAACGCTCTGAATGGACAAAAGAGTGGTTTCTAAAAAGGAAACAATTCTCTCACGTTAATTTATTGGAGAAATTGCGATTAGAACCAGGTGATTGGTTTAATTATCTGAGAATAGATGAAGACACGTACCTAGAACTACTTAGGTTAGTAATGCCTTCAATCAAGAGAGAGGTCACTCTAATGAGCCAAAGTTTAACCCCCTATGAACATCTGACAGCCACTTTGAGATTTATCGCTACCGAAAGAAGCTACGAAGAATTGAAATTTTCAGCGATAATATCTCCTCAAGCTTTGGGACACATCATACCCGAAACCTGTAGAGCTATATACCATGTTTTGAAAAAAGATGTTCCTTGCATCGAGTCAATTCTCATTTTCACCATTTCTATTGGTGCCGATGAATCAATTTCCGTTAACTTAGTTAACATATCCTCGTACGCCTTATTCTTTTTATCTCTGTCAGCATACTCGCCCGATTTGACTTTCCAGAGACATGGAAAGTTTCTGTAGATTTCAATAAATTCCGTCATAAATTGTTCGGTGCATGCCATACTGCCACACACCGACCGGATTCCCCGAATAGTTTTGCACGTCGGGTAATCCTGTCGAAAAAGAACCACGTCTGTGGTGGCCTTTAGAAGACAGTTAGCCTTTCTGTTTGAAAAATGAGGAAACAGCACATACTATGTTCCTGCCCCGCTGTGGACCGAATTAGGATTTCAGAGTTTGATATAGATTCACTTTTGTCATATGTCTTGAAAGATCACTCATCAAACGAGCTGATCGGCTTCATTGAGAAGCTGAATTTATTTGGTATAGTGTGCCACAATATAGATGCCACAACAAGCCCGTGCGGGTTACAGTGGGGAGTCGAATATAATCGCTTTGAACCTACCTATCATTATAATACTCGTTATTCAATTACACAATATACAAGTATACTGTGGTCAATGCAATTTAGAAATATTGAGAAAGCTTCAAGATGGTGTCACTTTCGGCTATGAAATTTTGTGTATTTATAACCTGTAACTAATTCTGAATCGATTATACCGAAAGTAGTTTGCTATTTTGAATGGAACACCCTATATGTTCGGATGCTGGAAAATATTTTAAGTAGACTCCGTGTATTATGACCATCATTTTTCATTTCGAGAAACACTTTTACCACATAACAAAAACATTGCTTTACAGGAATTCTTCAAAGTCAGTGTTTTTTATTAAAACACAGGTTCCAATTCTACCTGTCAAAGTAGTAGTATCATCAGCAAAAATGGATCATATCATACAATTCTGTATTTGGTATTGAATCATAAAATAAATAATTTTTGAATGAAACTTTCTCTAGCTGGACGTTTGTTTCAATAACAAACCTTTTGATTATGGACTCTGGTTTCATCTAGTCGTCTACTTGCAGTAAAAGCTGTAGACAAGAGGAGGCAATTTTTCATTTATCAGTTGATGTGTTTCTTTTGTCATATTTGTCTTCGTTGGGAAAGGTGTCTAAGGTTACTTGGACTTAGGATTGTTTTTAGCGAATGCTTTGTTTTAGGGTCTGGTTTCATATGAAGTTTTTTTGATGAGCGTTTTACAATTTCACAAAAGTCTAGAATTTGTCAACTGGCAAAGGAAGATGGTTAAAAAAAAAGGAAAACTCTATCTGCTGAAAAATGTCTAGCCCAATCCATTCATTTTCAGGGAAACACCATCCAACATTCTCACTGCCGGATATTTCTCTTCGACAGTATATCTTATCAAACGAATTTCAACACAGCCCAACATCAAGTAGGACGTGATGAATGACCTGTCATTAAACCTAATAAATGAACTATCGAACATGCACCAGATATTTTTTACTCTTTAACCTGTTATTGACTGGCTCTAGGAAATATAATTTTTCCTGCTTATCGAAAGAGCCCTTGAGTTTAACATTTTGAGCGACTATTGATATGGTTTCAGAAAGCAAACATTGCCTTTCTACCATGTCACCCTAAATTAAAATAAAACAATCGAGAAGGATCTCGGAGCGATACCCCATGATACTTCCAATCCCTTTGGCCATATCTGTATGGAAGGTTCAATACCTGAACATTGATGTTATGATTTACCTCAGCTTTCTCGAATACAATTCCTTACAAGTGGAAATCGATGGTTCTCTTCACGATTAGCTTTGGTATTACTGAGGATTCATATTGCCACCAACTCTTTTTTTGTCGTACATCAGTGACCTATTGAAGAGGACTAGAAATTCAATATATCACTCTGCTGACGACAGCAAAGCTGTCCTTTTTCCATTCATATGCCAATGCACAGCTGTTGAAGAACATCTTTGCCAACAAAAAGAAGTTTCATATTTTAATGAAGACACCTTAGAATGACACTAATCAATTACAAAAACTAAAAATAGTTTTTATAAAGCGTAGGTCGAAAGTTTTGTTTCAAGGCACGGAGAACACAATTTCAGTCACTAGGATTTATAACGCTGTGGTCAAACTTTAGGTATTACTAGTGGCAATCATATTAATTTTTGTATGAAAATAATTCGAGTAAAAATACAAAATACGCTTCTACGTAAGAAATGTGGTTTCTATCCAGGTAAAACTGAAACCTCTGGCGTAAAATAAATCCATAACGAAAATTGTTTTTTTGTACTAACTAGTTAGTCTATTCCACCTCCTGACGACGCCACATTGGTTGGTGAAATGTGCATCGATAAAATTGTTGCAGCTCTGAAGTTGGGAAAAAATACTTTTTTGTATATATCCAGATTACAATCGATTTGATGATCTCAGAAAATTATTTGAAATTTTGAGCCTGGAAAATATAAGACGGCATACGAGTCAATTTAATACGTCAAATAATCTACAATTGTCTTTACCACACCCAGGTGAGAAATTTGAAAATGACAAGGAACCCCGTTGAAATCACGAAATTTACTTCTTTTTTAACATGCTTATATTAGCTTCACTTGTATGATTGTTTGTAGCTGATTTCTTTGGACTCGATTTTGGCTAACTTTAATTAACACACTTATATTATTCCATTAATTCGGACTTCCATTGCCTACTATGATATAAATTGATTTGAAATCCCTGAAAGAATCTATAAACAATTAAAATGATCATCTGAAAAATAACAATTATGTTAAGCAAAATAACTGAAATTACAATGAAATAAAATACAAGTAACAATCAACAATCAAAAAAATCGAACTATAAACACGAGACGAAAAATAAAATCAAAAGATTTCAAAGCCCAAGTTACTTCACGATTGTTAGTATCCACAATCGTCTTCGGGTGATAACTGGACTTCACATATCCCCTCTTTCCTCTCTCCGCTTCATCAGTTTTAACGGGAGCTGACCGTTAGGCGGGAGTTGGTCGTGTTCCGCTTGATTATAGGTTTCCATATGTTGCGTATCTCTACGCTAGCTAGCTGGGCTGAAAGCGTCGTTGGACAACATATATGCGGCTTCTTTGATTTTTTTCCCAAACCAATGTTCTTCCTCATGGATGATTTCAGCTTGAGACCTCTTGATGTTGTTGATGAGTCCACACATGCTCTGCTATTCCTGATTTGCTGGTTTCTCCTCACAGTGTGTGTTTCTTGTGCTCGGCAATGCGAACTTTCAATGGTCTCTCAGTTTCATCGATGTATGATTCTCCGTATTCGCAGGAAATCCGGTGAATACAATTCTTGGAATCGCAGTCCGCGTTTGGTGGCCTGGTTTTCGTGAGGCTACTACGGATAGTGTTCCCAGATCTGAAACAGGTTCTGATGCTATTGTTGGACCCAATTCTTCTTATCCTTTCCGACAATTCTCTGATGTAGGGAAGTGCAAGTACTGGTTGTGGCGGCTTCTCTTCCTTGTGACTCTTGCTGTCTTCTAGCCAAAGTCTGTTCCAACATCACTTGTAACCATTCCGTTGAAGGTCATTTTTGATGATGCCTAGTTCCTTTTCCAGACCTCCCTTTGTATTACAGAGCCCGAAAGCACGGCCTACGAGAGTCTTGATAATTCCTCTCTTAGTCGATTGATGGTGGTTGGATTTCTAGTTCAGATGCTGTCCCGTGTGACTGGGTTTTCGGTATATAGATGTTTTCCATTTAGTGTCGGTCATCTTTACCAATACGTCTAAAATTGGCAATTCGTTGTGGACTTCTCCATTGTGAAAGTGATGGAAGGACTCACGTTGATGATGTGCTTCAGGAAGGTATCTAGTTCTGCATTCCCATAGTTCCATATTATGAAGGTGTCATCCACGTATCTCAACCAGACTTGGGGTTTCTTGTAAGCTTCTTCAATGGCCAGAGTTTCAAACCACTCCATATTGTTGGCTATAACCGACGAAAGTGGCGATCCCATTGGCAGTCCATCATTTTGAAAATTTGGAAATATTGTGTCGTGAGCGACTGTTTTTGTCAACAATGAAATGTCCCGTCAGTAGGCGGAAACACCAAAAAGTTTCGGTGTCCTGTCTGTGTTTTTGGTAAACAGAGTTTGCTAGGTACGTGGAAACGGCCGGCGACAACAACAAGCAACTATTCAGATATAACATATTTGTAATTTGTATTCTGTTTGAAACTGTTTAGTCCCAGTACTTTCAACAAAAGTTCAAATTCGTTATGTCACATTTTCGTAAAATTATGAAACGATGATCTGTTCCATTCATTCCCATGTCATCATTTATCAAATCTGCCACAATTGTATCCGTTCCATATTCTATTCATCTTCTCAACAATGGTCTCTTCTAGTATCTTGGTTTTTTTGCTTCCGCTTCTTTCGCTCAAAGGTTTGGATTCTAAAAAAATCGCAGCCCATTATAAAAACGCAGTCTAGAGAAGGCATGGTAAGAACTGTTCGTGTAATGGAAACGATAAAAAACACTGCACAACAAAACAGGCGAACCAGACAAGTTTTTGTCTGTCTGGTGGAATTCGAGTGTCAAGTTTGTTTTCGAAACTAAAACAAGTTTTCTGTTTCTGTTTTTGTAAACGAAACTAGTCGCAAGCGAGTCCGTTTGGTGGAAATTCGCCTTTAGTGTTCAGTCTTCTAAATAGTTCTACCTGTATTGAAAAATTATATTTTCAGCCCCAATTATATTCAATAAGTAGAATTTGGAATCTGACATGAAATTAATCCATCGAAAACACCTTTTTTGTTCTGATGACTTATTATTATTTTCCTTTCACTACGAAAGTATTGAAATAGTTATAAAGAACAAAACTGGAGAGTCATGTAGAGCAAAATCACAGGACAAACTCTGCTCTTTTGTTTTCAGATTGATTTCAAGGAATACAACGTTCGGCCCTCGTCCTTGGAAAGATGTGATAACAACGACCGGAGAGCAAGAAATAACAGGAACAGTCCTATTCAGGGGAAACGTATCTGCTAACTTCACAACAGCGAGTACATTGAAAGTNCAGATTGATTTCAAGAAATACAACTTTCGGCCCTCGTCCTTGGAAAGATGTGATAACAACGACCGGAGAGCAAGAAATAACAGGAACAGTCCTATTCAGGGGAAACGTATCTGCTAACTTCACAACAGCGAGTACATTGAAAGTCGATGGTCTGATCAATGATTTGAATTTCTCAGAAATCACAAACGACGCAGTTACTGTGAACACCCCCTTCAAAGTTTTCGGCACGAAAACATTTCAGAATATAACTGTCGATGAGTTGAACATTGTCGACGACTTCGATTTCAGCCAGTACTTGGATCCGAGCAGAAATGTTTTCATTATGAAAAACCTGAACAACTTGGAGAATTTGACAGTTGAAAATCTTCATTTCAGTAACAAGATCAACAATGTTGATCAAAGTAGTTTGTTAACTTCTGGAGAGGAAGAAAACACTACGTTGATTATTGATGGAGATAAAAACATTGAGAGAATTGTTGTGTACGGAAATGTATTCGTCGAGTCCAACCGTATAAATCACGTTGATCTAGAGGATTTTCAATTCAAAACCGTGAAAATAGATGAACCGTTTCATTTTGATTTTGTCGATTTTGGTAAGTACTGCATCTTTTTCAATTTGATAAAATCTGAAAAATGAACTCTCTAAACATAAAGGATGCATTGTATTTCGGTAATTTTTTTGGCTGATTATGATGACACTCAGAGAGAACTTAGAAATGATTTCTTTCGGTGTTATGTTAAGAATTATAATTCTAGTTGAGTCGAAAGGGGTGCTTGGTTGATATTTATGGCAAAAATCATGGTATTTCTAAAAATCATGGTATGTCATTAATTTCCCGTATATTTAATATCAAAAAACATAAACTTACAAGACTGGAGATAAGTGAATTGAATCGTTTTTTCCAGTTTGAGAGCCGTTGCCTTCAATTTTTTAAGCCTGTCGTTTTGTCTTCAAATGCGGTTAATATTATCAAAGGCAATGGATAATAGACAGAAGAGAAAAATGTTCTTTCTCAATTTTAAAGTATAAAGCATACCCACGAATTTGTTGACAAGATTTTTTTGTACACTCAGTTGCATACACAAATTTTGATCTGGAATCCCGATTTTAATATAAATCTTTGCAAATGATGAGGGAATTTATTCCCGATTAATTCACATGGAATAGATTTCTCATCTGAATTCTTCTGCCTCGATCTGATCAATAAGGGAACTGGTGGATTCCACTGCAGTTATTATTTCCAAAGTGGGCACAGATGTTGGTGCAATGGCGAAGTTAAGACCATTCCTCAACAGGGATTCTTCTATGTCCGTGAGTGTGCGGGATCTCATGTTGATGATGGTGGCGGCTTCATAGTTGTTCTGTTTTCGATTCACATTTGGGCATTGTTTCCTCACCAACTTTCCCCACTTCCTGTTGTTGGTATTTTGCATGTCTTATCGGATCTTCTAGTACGTGCTTTCAATCTTGGCAAATATTTGACCATGATCCTCTTCCAAGGTCGCTCTTCCTATTTTTTCAAATTGTTCTGTGTCATCTTGCATCAGAGTTGACCTCTTCCAACGGTGGTTATTAATTTGAGACCTTATCAATGCTTGGCTGGCGCGTTCCAATATATGTTTGGCTCTCTCTCCTGGGGTTGGCGATTTCAGCAGAAAACCTTTGGGTACGAAATTGTTGTCTCTAGCTCTGCACAAGAAACTTCAGGTAGGATATTGGTGGTGTTATCTCTACGTAGGCCGTTCAGAGCTCTTCGTTCTTCATTGCCGATGTTAGATGTTGGAAATGGTTCTCGATCTAGCTGTTCTCTGATTTTCCATCTGAACTCTTCTGCCTCGATCTGATCAATAAGGAAACTGGTGGATCCCACTGCAGTTATTATTTCCAAAGTGGGCACAGATGTTGGTGCAATGGCGAAGTTTACACCTTCGTGATATAACTTGGCTTGGAATCTTTTAATTTTTAATTTTCATTTCTTGTTAATAATTTTTTATTTTCAGCTCGTGTTAATAGTTTAATTTTTGATTGTTGTTTGTAATTTATTTCATTGTCATTTCAGTTTTTTTCCCTCAATGTAATTGTTATTTTTCAGCTAGTCTTTTTAATTTTTTATAGATTCTTCCAGGGATTTCAAATCAATTTATATAATATTAGACAATGGAAGTCCGAACCAATGAAATTCAGGAAAACTAAGTTATATGGTGAATACAGCTTTTGAATGACATCCAATAAATGCAAGCGTGGTTCA